CCTTCCGGATAAAATACCTTCAGTATAACGATACATTTGAAAGAACGCGAAGTGAATAAATAAACACTTAAGAAGGCAACATTTAGACATTGTTGGGGAAAACCACATGGCTCCCATTGCACATATTCTAGGAGCGTGTCGGCCCAGCAAACCTCAAATTAACACCGTGAGATCAGATGCCTGTGGAAAGCCACCAGACATGGCCAGGGCGTCGCAGCTTCTGACGCCACTCACTGTTCATTTTGAATAAATGTGTAAGTAACTAACACGTCGATTAACCGTCACCCGTTCTACCGTCAGTTTCTGTTTTCTGTAGTCATCTAAAAAATTAGTTTTAGAAGAAGATAGCAAATTATTTTAAAGTCACGTAGGTTTGTAGTGTCAATATTCCCTCAATTATAAGTTGACAAAACTTCTCCCTACATAAAAATGTGTCCTCAACCTCCACCCCCCCCCCCCCCATCCTCTATTAATGTTTCTTACTAACTTATCTCTTCATTATGGTTGTCATCTGCTGTCTCGTGTTTCGACCGTTGTCAGAGGTGCCCTGTTGCCATGGAGTCACGGGAGTAACGGGTTAGAGTTCACCACCTTAATATTGATGAAGGGAGTCGCTGTGGTCTAACGGCTAGACGCTCGCCTGCGGATCGGAAGGTCGTGGGTCCGTATCCTGACTGGGGACGAACTTTTTCTTTCAAAAATGACCTTGGCCCCCAGGTCGACCGAGCCTTGAGTGGGTATCATCTACAGTCCTGGGAAGTAAAGACGACCGGCGTGATGCTGACCACATCACCCACCAAATGCTGTTTGGTCTATATCATTTAGGTCTACCCCTATGTACCCACTACGCCTCAAAAGCGTGGAAAAGGGTCATTGATATACTTTACTAATATTGATGAAAGTGGTTCTTTCAGGCATGCGTACACGGCTATTGGTTTTGAGCCACAGATGTACTGATTCCGCCACGCCCCGCCCCCCAGCCCTCACATATAAACTCACATCCCAACCCTCCCTCACCCCCACCCCCGCTCGCCCCTTTTTTCCACCTATATGTTATTAAGAACACAAATGCACACTCACAAACACATAAAATATTTCAACAGTGTATATCAGTCACACTTCATTTATTGCTTTCATTATGTACAGCACACCTCGCTACTTCCCATTCGATTTCTGGATTGTGTAAAAGGTACTGAGCCGATGTGTTGTTGGCAGGGGAGCTGATAGATTTCAGTTGTAGTTTGAGGGAACAATACACTGTAGACAGAATGTGACTGACGCCGTTTTCAGTTGTCTGAAGTGCAGTGACGTCGGAAAGGTTCACATATATATTGACGAAGCAGGCAGGATGAGATTGGTAAGAGGAATAAAAACAGACAAACGAACGCGCACACACAAGGGGGAGGGGGTGGGTGAGTATGTGTGTCAGACAGTCAGATAGAAAGATAAATATAAGTGCGCATGTGTAACATATACAAACACAGAGATATATAAAGGCATCGAGAACGAGAGATATGGATAGAGAAAGAGAGAGAGAGAGAGAGAGAGAGAGAGAGAGAGAGAGATAGAGAGAAAGAGAGAAGGAAGGGAGAGACAGAAAGAAATAAAGACAGATAAACGGACAGAGACGGATAGAGCAAGGCATGAATAGAGAGCGAAAGATAGCAAGATTAAAATGACCAATTGATTTATCACTTTTTTTCTAAGTGTAGCGTCGAACTTGCTGACAATCAACTAACTAACGGATAGTGAGGAAACATCGCCGACTGAGGATTCCTTCCAGCCATATCTTGTGTGCTGTATCTTGTATGCTGTATCTTGTATGCTGTATCTTGTGTGCTGTATCACGTGTGCTGTATCACGTGTGCTGTATCATGTGTGCTGTATCTTGTGTGCTGTATCTTGTGTGCTCTATCATGTGTGCTGTATCCTGTGTGCTGTATCATATGTTTTGTATCTTGTGTGCTGTATCTTGTGTGCTGTATGTTATGTGCAGTATCTTGTGTACTGTATCGTGTGTTCTGTATCATGTGTGCTGTATCATGTGTGCTGTATCATGTGTGCTGTATCTTGTGTGCTGTATCTTGTGTGCTGTATCTTGTGTGCTGTATCATGTGTGCTGTATCATGTGTGCTGTATCATGTGTGCTGTATCATGTGTGCTGTATCTTGTGTGCTGTATGTTATGTGCAGTATCTTGTGTACTGTATCATGTGTGCTGTATCAGGTGTGCTGTATCTTGTGTGCTGTATGTTATGTGCAGTATCTTGTGTACTGTATCTTGTATGCTGTATCATGTGTGCTGTATCATGTGTGCTGTATCCTGTGTGCTGTATCATATGTGCTGTATCTTATGTGCTGTATCTTGTGTGCTGTATGTTATGTGAAGTATCTTGTGTACTGTATCATATGTTTTGTATCTTGTGTGCTGTATCTTGTGTGCTGTATGTTATGTGCAGTATCTTGTGTACTGTATCGTGTGTTCTGTATCATGTGTGCTGTATCACGTGTTCTGTATCATGTGTGCTGTATCATATGTTTTGTATCTTGTGGGCTGTATCTTGTGTGCTGTATGTTATGTGCAGTATCTTGTGTACTGTATCGTGTGTTCTGTATCATGTGTGCTGTATCGTGTGTTCTGTATCATGTGTGCTGTATCACGTGTTCTGTATCATGTGTGCTGTATCATGTGTGCTGTATCATGTGTTCTGTATCATGTGTGCTGTATGTTGTGTGCTGTATGTTGTATGCTGTATGTTGTATGCTGTATCATGTGTGCTGTATCATGTGTGCTGTATCATGTGTGCTGTATCTTGTGTGCTGTATCATGTGTGCTGTATCTTGTGTGCTGTATCTTGTGTGCTGTATCATGTGTGCTGTATCTTGTGTGCTGTATCTTGTGTGCTGTATGTTGTGTGCTGTATGTTGTATGCTGTATCATGTGTGCTGTATCTTGTGTGCTGTATCATGTGTGCTGTATCATGTGTGCTGTATCTTGTGTGCTGTATCTTGTGCGCTGTATCATGTGTGCTGTATCTTGTGTGCTGTATGTTGTGTGCTGTATGTTGTATGCTGTATCATGTGTGCTGTATCTTGTGTGCTGTATGTTATGTGCTGTATCTTGTGTACTGTATCATGTGTGCTGTATACTGTGTGCTGTATCATGTGTTCTGTATCTTGTGTGCTGTATCTTTGTGCTGTATGTTATGTGCAGTATCTTGTGTACTGTATCATGTGTACTGTATCATGTGTGCAGTATCATGTGTGCTGTATCTTGTGTGCTGTATGTTATGTGCAGTATCTTGTGTGCTGTATCTTGTGTGCTGTATCATGTGTGCTGTATCCTGTGTGCTGTATCATATGTGTTGTATCTTGTGTGCTGTATCTTGTGTGCTGTATGTTATGTGCAGTATCTTGTGTACTGTATCATGTGTACTGTATCATGTGTGCTGTATCATGTGTTCTGTATCATGTGTGCTGAATGTGAGCTGGATAGTTCTTTATATCTCACTCTTCAAAAGTGTAACCACTGTTGAATCACAAGTGTAACCACTGTTGAATCACAAGTGTAACTACAGTTGAATCACAAGTGTAACCACAGTTGAACCACAAGTGTAACCACAGTTGAACCACAAGTGTAACCACTGTTGAATAGAGAAACTGGAAGAGTCCCGATCAAATATGGAGGACATTCAATAGGTCGCAATGGAGAAGCCGCCCTAGTGTAACGGCTAGACATTTGCTTGAGGATCCCAAGGTCGTGGGTTCAATCCTGACAGTGCTAGACAATTTTTCAAAATGACTCTTGCTCCCAAGTCGAATCAGCCTTAAATGGGTACCATTGAAAGCCATGGGAAGTAAAGGCGACCGGTGTGATTTTGACTAATTCACCCATTAGTTTGTAGAATATAGGTTTTGCCCTATATGCCCAATACGTTGGAAGTCGTGGCAGGGGCCCTCTACATTTTACTTTTGAAGGGGGGAAAATGGTTTTGGTGCATAAATTATCTTACCTTATAGTATGTGAATGCACGAAAATAATGCGAATGTGAGGGAGTGTGAAGGAACCAACGAAATGAGAATTCGATGAAGTGTGAAGGAACTGACTAGATGAGAGCATGATGAAGTGTGAAGGAACTGACTAGATGAGAACATGATGAAGTGTGAAGGAACTGACTAGATGAGAACATGATGAAGTGTGAAGGAACTGACTAGATGAGAACATGATGAAGTGTGAAGGAACTGACTAGATGAGAACATGATGAAGTGTGAAGGAACTGACTAGATGAGAACATGATGAAGTGTGAAGGAACTGACTAGATGAGAACATGATGAAGTGTGAAGGAACTAACTAGATGAGAACATGATGAAGTGTGAAGGAACCAACTTTAGGCGAATGTGAGGGAATGTGATAAAACTAACTATGCGAATGTGAGGGAATGTGAAAGAACTAACTGTGAGCGAATGTGAGGGAATGAGATAAAACTAACTATGCGAATGTGAGGACATGTGAAAGAACTAACTGTGAGCGAATGTGAGGAAATGTAAATGAACTAGCTGTATGCGAATGTCAGGAAGTGTAAGGGAACTTACTGTAAGCGATTGTGAGAAAGTGTGAAGGAACTAACTGTAAGCGAATGTCTGAAAATATGAAAGAACTAACTGTAAGCGAATGTTTGGAAGTATGAAGGAACTAACTGTAAGCGAATGTTTGGGAGTATGAAGGAACTAACTGTATGCGAATGATTCACAAGCATGCGTGATCTTGAGAGGGTAAAGCCGAGAACCCTGGACATATATGAAGTATGAAGGTCTATTGCTAGTCGTGAAAATCTCTCTGGTTTTAGAAAAAAAGAAAGTGAGGTCTGCCTCAAAGTCTCTGTGGAGATGGTACTTTAGATCAGCGTTTAAACAGAACGGGCGATAATTAGGAAACAAAAAAGAAACGAAACTGAAAACAGCAAAGATGGGAATTAGAAATATTCTATATTGATCTAAATGTCATTGTAACCAATCAAATCGTTGTCCAACAAGTTGGAAAAACCTTTCATTGTAAGGTCTGAAAAATTCGATTAGTTTCGCCTTGAAATCCGGATCAATTTCTACATGTTTCCGCCCTTTGCTTTTCCCTAAACATTTGGTTTCCTCTGAGTTTTTCAGTTTCATGCAGTAAAATCCCTTCTCTGTGTCGAAGTAAATATCGTTTTCAGTAATGGCGTGTTCGATTCCTAGGAAATCTTCCACACGGCGAGTCTGGGACAGTGGATCTGTCACAAGTTTGTCTCCGTCAATTACCAGAAGCTGCGGATATAAAACATGGTTAAATTAGAAATTAAACAGGCTAAAGTTTGTTAACGCGGTAACAACCCCCACCCCCACCCCCAAAACAATACATTAGAAACACACGTTCTATGCCAAATTCACATTACAGTTCAACTAAAGGGATTTGCGGCGAAAAGCCTTCTGCAATAAACCACAAGAAGAACAAGAGACATGAGAATAGAGCAGTGACATGTTCTTATCGATCGGTTTATCAATTGTTGTTGTCTACATAAACCGGCAAGTCTTCAAAGATTGCCCACAGTTTGTCCAGGATGCTTGAAGTAGCGACCAAATTCAGACATTCATCTTCTTATAGTCCACGTCGTTTGGCGTTGGTTGTCACGTCTATACAGTTCTGACGCAGATGATCTTCCATACTATGACTTCAAACTGTCCAGAATCTTCTCTCTCGTTCTCTCTCTCTCTTTCTTTCTTTGTCTGTCTGTCTGTCTATCTGTCTGTCTGTCTGTCTGTCTGTCTGTCTGTCTGTCTGTCTGTCTGTCTGTCTGTCTGTCTGTCTGTCTGTCTGTCTGTCTGTCTGTCTGTCTGTCTGTCTGTCTGTCTGTCTGTCTGTCTGTCTATCTGTCTGTCTGTCTGTCTGTCTGTCTCTCTCTCTCTCTCTCCTCTCTGCATATTTGCCCCTTAAACTATCTCACCATCACGAGGCACCCTAGTTTTCTCCTTCTAATGACATGACCCAAGAATGTAGATCGTTTCGTTCTGATGTGGACGATCAGTCATCTTCGTGAATCAATTTCTTTCACAGTGTCTGCCCCACTCTTTAAAAAAATTACATCTAAGGCATTCTTGTGTACTGAAGGCATTACAGCAAATTAATGAACACATTGACAAACATTAATTAGGGTTTTGGTCAAATATCATATATTTCATTTTATATTCAATACTTATTTAGTTAAGTTGAGTTAAGTTGATCGCTCAAAATGAAACACAGTTGCAAGAAGTAATGTATATAGTTTTAATGGAAAGTGAAAACGGGGGTCTTTGAACAGCAGAAAACCAGAAGTAATGGTTATTACAAAAAAATACTTATCCTCCAAAATGCAACATCAAAGTAAATGGGACAAACCTCAAGCAAGTTGATATGTTTAAGTACTTGAGTAGTGATAACATCAGATGGAAGATGGAAGAATAGCGACGATCTATCAGGATCCCTGAAACTTGCACACGTGGACGGACCAGATTAGTCCGTGAAATGAACCCACCACCTTCAGAGCCTGATGCTAACTGCTTGACCATATCGCCACGAGGACCACCCCTCGCTTACATCACATATATGAATACGCAGGCAGCAACAACAACAGCAGCTGCAAAAACAACTACAGCAGCAGCAAAAACAACAACAGCAGCAGTAAAAACAACAACAGCAGAAGCAAAAATAACAACAGCAGCAACAACAGCAGCAACAACAGCAGCAGCAGCAACAACAGAACATTCCAAGAGACCAACAAAAGACACAGACGACGCCCGCTACCTGGTCACGAGGAAACACCTTCAGCAGATGCTCGAAATGTGGGTTGTAGTCACCCACTTTGAGCACCTGCTCCTCCCGGAACTGCTGCGTCTTGACGTTGTAGACTCGGGTCTCGAAGGAGACGGCCGACCTGCCCCAGTAGGTCTCGGTGGCATAGTAATGTCCGTACTCGGACAGCAGTCGAGTGATAGGGTCTCTGATGATGACCATTACCTGTCAATAGTTGAGTCACAGGATTAGTAACATAATAATAGTGTTACTTGTTCTTTCTTTCTCTCCTTCGGCCATTTACCAGATTCTTCACCAATTTCTTCCTTCCACCCCTTCTTCCTCTCCTCCTCCTTCGTCTTAGTTTTCGTTTCCCTCCTCTCCCTCCTCCGTCTCTTGTTGTTGTTGTTGTTCTTCTTCTTCTTCTTCTTCTTTTTCTTCTTCTTCTTTTTCGTTTTCCTTTTATCCAAAAGTAAGGATAGACTGTCAGCAACTCTTAATGAGCTCTTTTAGCATCCTTGGTAGTGAACAGTTTGGAACTTAAGCGTTCCCTGAACTATAAATAACAAGAACTAGACTGGCACCACGACAAGAAGTGGGTTGTTCCCAAGGTCAGTAGTGGATACCGGGACGCCTTAACTCGAGCTCCGCGCCGCTCCTAGACAATGTGTAAGGGTGCTAAGAGAACCATATAGCACTGACTGAACTTTTAAGTATTTGTTGATACACTTTATATTATTAGATGTATATTATTATATGGTGTCCGCCCAGCATACTTTTATTATTTCATCGTCATCATCATTACTTTCAGTAAACTGCGCATTCCAGTAAGTTTGTGACCCTAGAGAAACCCCATATTTCTTTCTAGTAAATTTGTAACAAGCTGCCAACCCACCCCAGCACTTCAAATATCTGGCACCTGTGAGTGCGTTCCTATATCCACAACTGCCAGTTTGTATTGTGAAAGCCACACAATTTGGTTTTCATTATCAAAGCCGTGCCAGATTTCCCACTTCCTTACCCAGCAGTCACTTGAATTTTAATTTTAAGAATCGGCCTTGCAGCACACCGTGCATACCCGTAGATGCTCCGTCTCACTCGGAAAATATTATTTAGAGTAGATACTGATGGTTTACTTGTCCCTTTGATCCGATGTAATCTAGATCCCCCTCCCCCACCGCGCCCCATTTGTCTAGGATGGGTTCAAAGAATGGAGCTTGTCTCCTTCTGATACGAGTAATCAATTATTATCTTGAGATTGTTCTGTTCTTTGTAAATTACAGCTGTTAATGCTAGACATAAAATAGGTGCATACTATGCGAGGTGTAACGAGAAAAAGATCGACTTAAGAGCGATGACATCAGGGGTAGAATCGGCACAGAACTAGTACTGAACTTTATAGGCAGACAACAAATCGAATGGTTTGGCCATGTAACAAGACTGGCATCAGAAAGGGTACCACAGAGAGAAATGTTATGCAGATACAACGATAACAGATTCAGAGGTCGATCTCGCAGGATATGGACCGCATAAATATTCGACATTAAAAAGTAATTTTTACGAAGCGAACAGACGGGTCCGTTCCAAAGATGTCTTACTGTCCTGACTCCGCGAGGTATCCCGGGAGTAAAGAAGAAGAAGAAGAAGAAGAAGAATGCTGGATTTGCAGTCTACTCAGCTATGAGGGTGAAAGTGCACTGGTACCTTCAGCGAGCTGTTCATGGCGTGCATTCTGAGATGGGAGTCGTGCTCAACAATATAACAGGGCGACTTTTCTATGGTGATCTGGTCGGAGAAGGAGTAGGGCATCTTCTTCACATACCTGCAATACATGCAAGTCACATTTAAGATAGACTAGCTATTTGATTGACTAATCGTGTCCTTGTCTGTTGAACGTTCGGTTCCATTCTTTGCATTTATATGACATTTGATGTTGCATTTGTATAACATTTTTCTTCTTCTTCTTCGTGTTCACCAGCTGAAAACTGGCGAAAAGTTCTGGTTGTTCATCCACTTTTGGACTGCAGTCATGTTCAAGAACCTGAGTGTTACGTGTGCACCCGTTTTACAGATCTGACTCATTTGTATGCAGACTGCTGGTTCCTTGCCTCCCAGGCAGATGCACTCCGACTACGAAGGTAACTCCCAATAAGTCGACTCTTACGACATGCTTTTGGTTAGGCAGTGGGTCTATTCTTTTTCCCCTATAGTAGTGCCCCGAAACCTACACAGGGATGTATGACATTTGATGTTGCATTTGATGGTTGTACTGATAAAGATTTGATCGACACTGTCTGATCACGTCTTTTCGACCCCCCCCCCCCTCCCCGCCCCGAACTGGGAGTTCTAGTTTGTTAGAAGAATCAACGAATTTGCTTAACATCATTTTCTGTCTGCACGTCTGTCTATTGCACTCATATCTATATGTCTGTTGTCTGTCCATGTCTACTTCTGAAGGCTGCCAGTCAGTGGGGTCCATTTGTCTGCCTAACGAAATCATAACCATGTCTGTATGTCAAAGTCTTATGGCCGTGTCTGTGACAACTTATGAACACGTCTGCCTATCAATCTGATGGTCTGTCAATAATTATAGTACTCGCAACCTTCGTGTTTTCCTCTCTGTCTGCTCGTCTGTCTGCTTGTCTGTCTGCTCGTCTGTCTGCTTGTCTGTCTGCTTGTCTGTCTGCTCGTCTGTCTGCTCGTCTGTCTGCTCGTCTGTCTTGTCAGTAATTAAAATATTTCTGCGCGACTATTTGCATATTGACCACACCCACATAGTGCCAGTCAGTCGTTATTTCTTCTTTTTCTCCTTCTTCGCGTACACCGGCTGTACATTGCGGCGGAAAGTTCTGGTTGTTACATCCACTACTGGACTTCGGTCTTCTTCAAGAACCTGAGTTGAATGTACCACGTTTAACAGATCAGGCTCACTTGTATGCAGACTGTTGGTTCCTTATCTCTCAGACAGATGTACTACACAGACCTTAAAGGAGATCACGCCTAATTAGCCGTCTCCTATAAAATATATGTTGGGGGGGGGGGGGAGGGGGGTGAGTAAATATGTTCACTGTTCTCAAAGAAGGAATCCGGAAACCCACCCTACAAGGTCTCTACACACAGGGAACTTGAACCGTATGCCGGATAAGCCAGTGACGTAAACAGGTCATTTGTATTTTGTTGTTTTTCTTTCTATGTGACTCTTGGTTGTGGTGCACCAAGTTGTCATGTGACCAAATTCCTTCTCTTAAAACCCATATCCACACCTCGAGGCTAGACCTACATTTTAAAGATTCGACTGCTGATGTGGCCAACATGACGCCGTCCACTTTTACTTCCCAGGACTTATCATGGTATCTTTTTTTTAAGATGGGCCACCTGGGAGACAGGGTATTTTTTTTTTAAGAAGAAGAAAAAAGAATCCAGTTCGATGAGAATTGAGCCTACAACCTTTGGGCCGAATGCGAGCGTCTAGCTCCTACACCACGACGGTGCTAGACCAAAACCATGTTTAAAACAACAAGAGCTGGACTTGGATTCCGAGTCCATCAAGCCTAAAATAAACACCGTGAACGGTTCTGGGCACATATTTTATTTTCTATAAAGAAAGATGCCGGTGCTCACCAGAAAATGTCTTTAAAAAAAAAGGAGCCGGTATTCATCACAAAGTTTTGTTACAGCCGAGCTGAAAAATGATGCCTTAAAAAGGTTCCGGTACTGTGTACCGATGCGTACCACCAGAGAAAAAGGCCCTGGCTCTGAGAAATCAACTGGGCCTGCATGCCACGAATCAGCTTGCCCAGCTGATCCTCATGTTTCAATAGGAAAAGAAGTTAGCATTAGTTATCCAACAAACATTATCTACACCTTAAGCTATTTGCTGCGGGAGAGGGAGCACATATAAGTATGACCGGAGTGCTGTGATGTCGATTTTTACATCAGTAACAGCAGTAAATACAGTTTCCAGTAAGATTCAAAACTAGATGTAACTGGACATTCACCATCTCGCTACCACTGAGATGACAAGAAACTGCTTGTAGAAAACCCAGAAAGAAATCATCGTGCTGAAAAATGAAGAAGTGGGAAGAACTGTTGGAACAAAACTCGTCGTTTAAATCGTTGAGAGACACAGGTTGAAATGGTCCGGCCACCCATTGAGCATGAATCCGACGATTTCGCTAGCGAGAGAGTATAAAATGCAAATGGAAACTCCAGGAGACAGAGGGAAACCTAGAAAAATATGGATTGAAGGAGTCGGTTATAATCTAAGACTTTACAATATCACATCATACCAATCTACCGAGCTTGCCCTAACTCGACTACCGATCATCTTATAAAATGCGACGCCTAGGGATGCAAACCAGGAATTGACAAAAGATAGAAACAAGAATTATAGAATTTCTGAATAGAAAACGAGTTTTCTAGTTTAATTCTAGATTGTAGAATTTCTCGAGGTATTTCACGTTGACCACGATATGAAAAGGGTTAACCATACAAGTTGTATGGCTTTGACTATTGCTGAAATAGATTGGATGAAGAAGGGATAGACCAGACAAATATCAATATCATCTAATGCAATCGTTTTACAAAAATACCAATCATGTAAAATAAGTAGGCATGCCATCACAGATTGTATTTTGGTGAGTCATGACAAACGCATACAGGCATATTAATCAAGATCGTATTTTGGTGAGTCATGACAGATGCATACAAGCATACCAATCAAGATCGTATTTTGATGAGTCATGACAGACGCATACAAGCATACCAGTCAAGATTGTATTTTGGTGAGTCTTCACGAAAGCAACCGTCGTATCTGGGGCACAGCCTGCCACCCGACTAGTCATACGTACAATCAAAAGTCGTATTTGGAAGTAAACTTTATCACAGTAGAAGGATTACGTACCATTAAAGGTCGTATTTGGGGCACATCCTGTAGTCATGCGTACAATCAAAAGTCGTATTTGGAGGTAAACTTTATCATAGAAAAAGGATTACGTACCATTAAAGGTCGTATTTGGGGCACATCCTGTAGTTATGCGTACAATCAAAAGTCGTATTTGGAGGTAAACTTTATCATAGAAAAAGGATGACGTACCATTAAAGGTCGTATTTGGGGCACATCCTGTAGTCATGCGTACAATCAAAAGTCGTATTTGGAGGTAAACTTTATCATAGAAAAAGGATGACGTACCATTTAAGGTCGTATTTGGGGCACATCCTGTAGTCATGCGTACAATCAAAAGTCGTATTTGGAGGTAAACTTTATCATAGAAAAAGGATTACGTACCATTAAAGGTCGTATTTGGGGCACATCCTGTAGTCATGCGTACAATCAAAAGTCGTATTTAGAGGTAAACTTTATCACAGAAAAAGGATGACGTATCATTAAAGGTCGTCCCCCGTGTGGGTTCCGGGGCCCTATTATAGGGAAAGCAAGAATAGACCCACTGCCTACCCAAAAGCATGTCATAAGAGTCGACTAATTGGGAGCTTCCTTCAAAGTCGGACTGCATCTGCCTGAGAGGTAAGGAACCAACAGTCTGCACACAAATGCGTTAGATCTGTAAAACGGATGCACATGCAACATTCAGGTTCTGGAACAGGACTGCAGTACAAAAGTGGACGAACAACCAGAACTTTTCACCAGAGTTTACAGCTGGTGAACGCAAAGAAAAAGAAGATTAAAGGTCGTATTTGGGGCACATCCTGTAGTCATGCATACAATCAAAAGACGTATTTAGAGGTAAACTTGATCACAGAAGAAGGATGACGTACCATTGAAGATCGTATTTGGGGTACATCCGGTCACAGAAATAGTCCGGCTCCCACTCCAGGGACACGAGCTTGGGATGTAGATCAAGAAACTCTAGTAAGGCCGAGGTGCCACATTTGCCGAAGCCCAGTAAGATACACTTGGGTGGCCGGCTTGCGGGAATCTCTGGTTTATCAAGACAACAAACGACTTAATTATGTAATATATAAGTTTATGAGGACAACAAATGCCTTAAATGGGTAATATAAGTATATTAGGACAAGAAACGCCTTATATATGTAATATAAGTATATTAGGACAACAAATACCTTTGCATTATAAGTTTATGAGGATAGAAAACGCCTTAGTTATGTAATATAAGTATATCAAGACAACAAATGCCTTAGAATTATAATATAAGTTTACGAGGACAACAATTGCCTTAGATATGTAATACAAGTATATCAGGACAACAAATGCCTTAGAATTATAATATAAGTTAGTAACAAATAATTTCAACGCCAGTGGGCAATCTGGCATGCGATGCCTGAAATATTTGTATAGACTTAACTGAAATACTGGTGTTTGATCATCTGATTGGTGGTGGGGGGGGGGGGGGGGGTGGAGGATGACGTCAGAAAATATCGTGATCACATGCACAAAATAGAGACAGACCGAGAGAAAATATGTTGGGTGGTGAAAGATGGCAGCAAGGCTGACCAAAGAGAACTGAGCGGGTGTTGTTGGGTTAATTTTTTCAGGGTCGGCTCAAGCAGTTTAATTCCAGTTTACGAGATTAATAATATAATAATAATAATAATAATAATAATAATAATAATAATAATAATAATTAAAATATGCTGAATGACAACTAAATGTTAAAATATATTTGATATAATGTCACAACATAATATCCCTCGTACACGAGTTTTGTGTGTGTGTGAAGGTTCCGGCCCATATGGAGGAGAAAATGAAGGAATATATATATATCATCAGTAGTGTAGGGGATGACAAGGACACGGGAACCACCTGACCTGGCTACGACACATACAAGTGATGTTGACGATAATGATGATAATGATGATGGTGATGATGAAATAAATAAGAACAGAATCAGAGTTACCTACCCTTCAAATTGAGCGCACTTGCTGCCTCGCTCACCGGCCAGCCAGCCGGCTGGGGGTCAAGGTCGCGTCCTTTGGGGTGTCGTATCATGATCACCTGATTCTTCTCATTGGTTGCTTGTCGCGGGGGTGGCGACTCCTGTCGGAATCCTTCTGGGAAAACTGGCTCATCTTGGACAAATCTGGAGCCTGCACAGAGGAAGTGACGTTACATGGCGCCTGACATTGTAAAAGGATACTTTAGCATAATATGTTTTCTGTTGGTTTATATGTAGGGCATGTACATTTAACAGATTAATGAACAACTGGGACGCATGGGTGCTGAGGTACATGTAGTGATGCACCACGACCAGGGATGACTCTGGTGAAGATCTATTTACAGCTCTACCTGGTCATCCTAGAAGCAGATTCACAGCCAGAGGAATGATAGATGTAGACAAAATCAATGTTTATGTTTCTTTCGATGTCGGTGTCCAGCTACATGAGAGGCAAAGAACCAACACGCTGCATACAAATAAATAAGAGTTTGTAATACGGATATACACGTAACAATCAGGTTATGAAGCAAGATCAAAGATGTAAAGTGGTCGAACAACCAAAACTTTTCGCCGGAGTTTGCAGCTGGTGAACGGGAAGAAGAATGGTAAACAATTATGTTGACATAGCTGAGATGAGGTTTGATAGATAATGATGAGCACACCCGAGACAGAACTGGAGTACACACCTGGGTATGACGGGGTAAAAAGTAACAAAAGGGTCGATGGTATTAGTTTTAGAGCTTCACACATCACCGTGTCAGTTTCTAAATGTGCATGTTGTCTGAAGGTTATTCTTGCAAGAAAGATGCCGAGGAAAGTTGAGAAGTCTTCTGAGCTTTTCACACAGAACAAAGGTTTTGTACTGTCGACGAACTCCAAGAAACTACGTGTCAGCAGATTCCTCGATTTTCCTTCATCAAGTTGCTTTGTGTTGATCTGTTTGTTATTTTTAAGCCCTTAGTTTATACCTTATTTAATTTTCACATGTTTGTGTTTGCTGTTTTAGCCCCAGAATTGGATGCATATTTCATAAGCCTGACTGTTTCCCTTGTAGATTTGTCTTAATGTATTTATCCTGGCTTAGCATTGCGTTTTATCCAGTTTCTTCCCCCGTCATTACAGCGAGCGAGTCTTTGCATGACAGTTTTGTGGATTTTTTTTATTTCATTCTAAGTTTAGTCTAATCTGCATGTCTGGCGTTTAGGTTTAGGCAACGGATCAACATCATGGCACACCGGTAGTAACCCATAAGTATTTTTAAAGTAATGTTAATGAGAAGGATTTATACAATAGGCAATTTTTATAAAAAAAAATTTTTTTTTGAAAATTACTCTACGAATTTTATCTGCTACACAACTAATACAAATTGTCTTCTCCTTTCTTCCTCTACTTCTTTCATCTGCACACCGCTGCATCTTATTATTCCTCCTAACGCCACCTGAGGCTCTTCCTGCTCCCTGGGTCGTTCCAGCGCCACTAACATCTGACTGAGGCAAATACCGTCTCTATGGATCATCCCAGCGCCCCGGGGTGGGGTTATCCCAGCGCCCCATGTTTGTTTGTTTTGTTTTAGTATCCAGAAGCCATGAGTTGTTAACTCTTAGGCTCGGTATTATGGATATCGCAACCTTTCAGCCTTGATTCCATTGTAAATACCGTCAATCTGGGTGAAAATGTGGCTTTCCTGCCTACTCCCGGGATTGAACCCGGACCACAAGGAGTACGTCACCCGGTCTCCGCGAAATCCGGTTTAGCCAATTCCGCTAGAGAGCCGGGCACGAAGCGCCCCATAGTGGGGTTATCCCAGCGCCTCCAGGGTGGGGGTTAGCGTTCACTTTGGAAAACACTGATCGAATGTGGAAATCCACTGAAGCCTACAGCGTGTCTCATCTTTCCTTCCCACACAGACCCCAACAACGCATAGGTGTGGCGAACACTTACCTACTTCATTGTCTCGAGTCATCAGCCCATTTCCCGCATCCATCATCTGCGAGTCGGTGCAGCGAGAGGTGAAGTACATCGTGCAGGCAACAGTCAGCACAACCAGACTCACGGACACCAGCACCAATTTCACCCAGTAAATCCTCATGGACCTCATTTCTCTGCTCTGTAAGAGAGGTATACCGGCAGTCATCATTAACTAGAAACCAGCAACATTCAACTACAGCAACTGTTTGTGTTTTCTGCCCCGATATCACTGCTAAAAGGGATCTATGGTTGAAGGGGATTTCCGGGTCTTGTAAATGTTTGATTCTCATCCTTAAGATGTTGGTTTTAAAGAATGCAGTCTTGCAGTGGACAATTTTTTTCCCAACAGGAATAAAGTTGAAAACAAACAGGAAAACCCAACCATACAAGAATGAAGACATAGTTGGCTGTTTGTGAAAATGTGGAGGTTCAAGTGTAAATAAAAAACAGTCCAGTTATCAAAAGATAATTTACCCTTCAGTACAGGAACCCAAGGCCTGGATGTCTTTCAAGTAGTATAAATGGGAAGTAAAGGCAGCCAGCTTGATGTTCTACACATCACCCATGACGTGTCGACTGGTCTGTAAGATTCAGGTCTAGCTTTATATTTCCGATACTCGTTTGGTGCAAACAGTATTCTTCAGTGTTTCTGCTTACTTGTCAATGGCTGCCCGTTATCAACGGCGCACTGACGTCTGTCTATGGCTGCCCGTTTTCAACGGCGCACTGACGTCTGTCTATGGCTGCCCGTTAGCAACGGCGCACTGACGTCTGTCTATGGCTGCCCGTTAGCAACGGCGCACTGACGTCTGTCTATGGCTGCTCGTTATCAACGGCGCACTGACGTCTGTCTATGGCTGCCCGTTATCAACGGCGCACTGACGTCTGTCTATGGCTGCCCGTTATCAACGGCACACTGACGTCTGTCTATGGCTGCCCGTTATCAACGGCGCACTGACGTCTGCCTATGGCTGCCCGTTATCAACGGCGCACTGACGTCTGTCTATGGCTGCCCGTTATCAACGGCGCACTGACGTCTGTCTATGGCTGCCCGTTATCAACGGCGCACTGACGTCTGTCTATGGCTGCCCGTTATCAACGGCGCACTGACGTCTGTCTATGGCTGCCCGTTATCAACGGCGCACTGACGTCTGTCTATGGCTGCCCGTTAGCAACGGCGCACTGACGTCTGTCTATGGCTGCCCGTTAGCAACGGCGCACTGACGTCTGTCTATGGCTGCCCGTTATCAACGGCGCACTGACGTCTGTCTATGGCTGCCCGTTATCAACGGCGCACTGACGTCTGTCTATGGCTGCCCGTTATCAACGGCGCACTGACGTCTGTCTATGGCTGCCCGTTATCAACGGCGCACTGACGTCTGTCTATGGCTGCCCGTTATCAACGGCGCACTGACGTCTGTCTATGGCTGCCCGTTATCAACGGCGCACTGACGTCTGTCTATGGCTGCCCGTTATCAATGAATATCATATCCTATAGTAAGACTGAATTTCGTATCCCATAGTTTGTGAATACCGTATCTCATAGTTAGACTGAATACCATTTCCCAAAGTTAGACTGAATACCGTATCCCAAAGTTAGACTGAATACCGTATCCCATAATTAAACTGAAGACCGTATCCCATAGTTATACTGAATACCATGTCCCATCATCATCATCATGTAGTAGGTCCTTTGCAGAACGTCGCTCTCATCACAGTCTGCCTGAAAGAAACTCGGTCTCTCGCCAGTTCTCCTGCCTTATATACTTTCATACTCAAGGAGTCACTTATATCCCGTACCCATCTTTGTGTCGGTCGGTCGGCCCCTGCCCCTCCTTCCTGGTACCATTCCTTCTGCTAGTTTTTTCCAATCCGTTGTGGCGCTTGATATGACCAAAATATTTCAGCTTCCGAGAAAGGATGCTGTTTATTAGCCAATCTTCCTTGATGTTCAGATCTTTTAAGATGTCAATATTTCTCCTCTTCTTTGTCCAAGATATTCTGAGAATCTTTCTATAGCATTTCAGCTCAAAAGCCCCTATTCTCTTTCGTAAGGACTGAGAGATAGTCCACGACTCACATCCGTATGTAGTCACAGGGAAGATGCATGCTCTCAAATATCTAATTTTTATCTCCTTGCTGGTGCTTAACCATAGACTTTTAAGGCTGTTCAATCTGTGCATTGCCAAGGCCATCCTCCTTTTAATTTCTGTTGAACAGTCACCATTGATGTTTATTATAGAGCCTAGATATTCAAAGTTTGTGAGATTTTCAATTTCTTCATCATTTATTGTGATTTTTGGGTGACAGCCAATTTTATCTATGGATATTATTTTCGTTTTCTTTAAATTCAAGAACAGATTTTGATCTTCACTGTGCTTTTGGACAGACAATATAAAATGTTCGATTCCCTTTACGCTGTTACCATGTCCCATAGTAAGACTAAATACCGCATCCCATCGTATGACTGAATACCGTATTCAATGCTAGGACTGAATACCTTAACCCATAGACAGTTTTAGCTGCAAAATCAGTCTATAGATGGCTGGAGGCTTCATTTAGAGACAATATCAGAAGGTGGAACAGAGGAATAGGAGGAGAAGAAGAAGAAATAAAGAAGAAGAAGAAGAAGAAGAAGAAGAAGAAGAAGAAGAAGAAGAAGAAGAAGAAGAAGAAGAAGAAGAAGAAGAAGAAAAAAGAAGAAGAAGAAGAAGAAGAAGAAGAAGAAGAAGAAGAAGAAGAAGAAGAAGAAGAAGAAGAAGAAGAAGAAGAAGAAAAAGAAGAAGAAGCATAATAAGTAAGATAAAGGGGATGGGAAGAAGAAACAGAACAGGAATAAGAACAAGAGCAAGGAGAGCAGGAAAATGTCACACGCCACTTACTGTTAACATCTCAGTGGTTGCTATGTCAAAACTACACAACTGCTACTCCAGACAATGCAAGACTGTGCGAATAAAATGAACCCGTGGACAGACTAAGCAAACGTTAATATCGCAGGTGTGTATGTTGTTACAAAACTCACAAATGACATTTTATGTTTCGATACAGTAATTAAACTCGGCGACGGTACGACACTGAGGGAGCTTCTATTGAAAGTAACGGGAAACGAAATCACTATCGAAAGAAATGGACAGTGAGGAAGAGGGGGAGGAGGAGAAGATGAAGAGAAAAAGGATAAAAGAG